AGCTCAGGTACCAGCTAAGGCGATTTCCGTAAGACAGGCGGTAGCGAGAGCGAAGGTTGTTAACCCTTAGCGAGGACGTGTAATTAGTTAAACAAAATCTTTAATGTATTGACAAAAAAGCTGCAGAAATTACTTAAATTCTTTTATTTACTTTTATTTAACTGAGGAATTTTTATGCAAACTTAGACCCTAGTCTTAGACAGTATAGGACTGTCAGAATTTATTATTCAATAAGAAAACTTACTGAACATTGTAATATTCTTATATATTCATCACTTTTTCAGTATCCGCACATGTTTATAAGTTCAAATGCTATATTTACAAATCAAAGTTATTTATGAAGTAAAACGTTATAAAATCTGGTAAATCATTTGTGTGTGCAAATTTTTAAATCAAAATCTCTTACATCTCAATCTGCTGTCTTTTAAATTACATCCCATTATTTATTTAAATTCAATTTATTAATGTGTTTGTACTAATATTTCAAAGTTCTTTGAAATGCTTTGCGTCCTGAAAATGCCAAGTATTTCCATACAAAAAATAAACGGGCATGCAAAATTTTTAATAAACAGTATTATATGATTAATTGTTCATTTAATAGTTGATTTAGTTGCCTTTAACTTATTTAATGTATAAATTTTCTAGACAGAAATCCTCTGTCTAATTTTTATTATCTTTTCTCAGACGAAACTTTTCAAAGAGGAATGAATTAAAGTCTTGATTGTGCATAACACATTTTTGAAGCTAAATGTATTCTAAGCAAGTACAAAAAATGCAAACAATATTTTGTCCCTCCCCCCCCCAAATCAGTCATTTAAAGTATTCCGACCGTTCAGGAAAACGATAAACATTGTGAACATAAAAATCTGCCCTTTTTTTTAATAAAAGGAAATGTGTTCCTTCTTTTAATATATATAAGAAAAGGAACCCATTTTTCTTTCTAAACTTTTGAAAGTCGCCAATGCTTAAAAAATGATAAACTACGCCAAGGTAGTTACCCGCCCTTAATAAAAAAAAAAATTCACTACAACACTTAGGCAGTTCGCGTACGTAGAATCTGTTTTTTTCGATTGGGTTCAAATGACGGATCCGACAACTCAATGCGAATGCGTGGCTAATGTTTGTGCGAATAGCATCGGCCCATACAATATACTACATTAATAAGTAAACTGAATTCAGGCAAAATTTCGGCTCAAAAGTAAAAAATTTAAATAACTAGCACATATTTTTTTTCAATTTATTAATTTTACCCGTGCATATACTTTAATACATTATTTACAATACTTAACACTTGATTAGGAATCAAGAAAATGGTTTAAAATTTTGCTAATAATTTTCGTATATTACAAATGGAAAATTTGTTCCTGATGGTTACTTATGAAAACTTATTCCATTTCCATTCACAAATCGATTAGTACAATTATAAGCAACGCAAGACTTGGGCATGGCTAAACCTACGAAAATTTTATGAAAGGAAAAAACAAACAAACAAACAAACAAAAAAAAAACAAAAAAAAAAAAAAAAACACCATTCAAAGACAAAAATTAAAAGCAAGGATGTCTAAAGGTAATGTTTACTATAGATAAAACATAAACGAACCGTGCTTCTTGCCACTATCATGGCTGATGCCACAAACTTCATTTGGAATCAAAATCACGTGTTTGAAAGACTAGTGTTGAAACTCTAGGCGAAGCTGTAATGAAAATTCCGTTACATGTCAGCTCATCTCAGCTCGATCCAGAGTGACACCTATCAAGCCGATCTCCATACCACGACTCAAGGAGGTTAGAACCTCCTTGCCACGACTAGAGCTCTTAGCTTGTACGATTGATGCCAGACTGGCACATCGTGTTAAGGAAGATTTGAGACTAGAAACCTTGCCTATTTATTATTGGAGTGATTCTATGGATGCATTATTTTGGATCAAAAAGAAGGAAAACTGGGCCGTTTTCGTTCACAATATTAGTGAAAGAAATCCGTACTCTAAGTAATCCAAACGATTGGAATTATGTTCCTGGAACACAAAATCCAGCGGACCTCCCTTCGCGAGGATGCAGTCCGGAAACTTTAGTCAAATCGAAATGATGGGAGGGTCCTCACTGGTTGAGAAATGATCCAGAAAAATGGCCTACCTCTGAAATTGTACCGAATTTTGACATTATAAATGCTGAAAGAAAGAAGACAATATTTTTCGCGGTTATTTCGAATGTTATGACGGAAGTTAATTTTGATAAGATTTCTTCGTACAATACCATTCTAAAGATAATATCTTGGATTTTCCGTTTTGTTAAAAATGTCAGACTAAGTTCTAATGAATGAACTTCTGGAACAGTTACAGCGGAAGAAATTAAAGGAGCCGAATTAACTCTTTTGAGATTAGTACAGAGTGAATCATTTTCTTTATTGGATGACAAAAGATTACGTGTACTTCAACCAATGATTGATTCTAACGGAATGCTTCGGGTTAAAACCAGAATTCTGAGAAGAGATGATACAGAGAATTTTCGATTTCCTATTATTCTTCCTTCAGATCATCCTATTGTAGCAAAATTAATTAGAGCTAAACATGAAATGAACAATCATGTAGGAGTACAATTTTTGTTATCCGCTTTATGAGAACAATATTGGATTTTGAAAACACGAAAGACTCAAGAAAGTCATAAGAAGTTCTGTTGTGTGTCAGAGGTTCGATAATAGTTCTTCGAAAACACCCATTGCTCCTCTCCATGAAAACCGAGTAAGAGAAGCAGCAGTCTTTGAGATTGTAGGTGTTGACTTGACTGGACTGTTGATATTGAAGAGAAATCATGAATCATGGATAGTAATTTTTACCTGTGGTGTTTTTCGTGCAGTACATTTGAAATTAATTTTCTCGCTAGAGACTGAAAGTTTTCTGCAAGCGCTGAGACGTTTCATTGCTAGACGTGGAAGACCCCACACCATCTATTCACACAATGGAACGAATTTCAAATGAAGCGATAGATTATTCAGTAGCTTAAATTGGTATAAGATCTTAGAACATGCTAGTATCCACAGGATCACATGGAAATTTATTCCGCCATCAGCTCCTTGGTGGGGAGGATGGTGAGAGCGATTAATAGGAATCCTTAAAAGAATCCTTCGCAAAGTTTTAGGACGATCATCTCTGAATCATGAAGAATTGATTACAATTTTGTGTGCCTGTGAAGCAATAATTAATAATCGTCCATTGACGTATGTCTCGGAAGATGTTGAAGATTTAGCTCTTATAACACCTTCCATGTTGCTCCATGAGATTCGACAAATTGGAGTTCCTGATCTGGATAATATAGATGCGAAATCTTTAAACAAAAGGCTTATTTATCGACAAAAACTTTTACAAGATCAAAGATTTCGAATCGAATATCTCGGACAGTTATGGCAAATTATGAACATGTAAAAGCCTCACGATTTCGGAAAGTAGGAGACCTAATTTTAGTGCCCGATGATAATAAGGAGCGAACAAACTGGTTATTGGCGAAAGTAACCGAGATTTTCAAATCTCGGGATGGACATGTGCGTTTAATTAAAATCAAGACTAAGCTTGGAGAAGTTTTGCGAGCGTTTGTATCCTTTAGAGATAACATCATCAGATGAACAATCTAAATTTAGAAGTGTGGCAAGCAGCTTTTTTGATGAAATAAAGACTTACTGCGATCCTGATATTCGATATCCTGTTCAAAGGTTACAGTTTTTTAAATTTGATTTTTCAGCAAATTTAAAGGTGGAAGTATGTTGAAACTCTCACCGACAACCACGTGATTTGCGCATGCGCGCTGCAAAAACTAAAACAGAACTTTTAACTCGGAGATCGGAGATCATCATTCGTTAAGTGGTGTTCGACCCGAGGGCCTTTACCACTACATGTTTATCAATCACTAAGGACCTGTAAAAGTTCGTTAAATTCCATAAACTGGAAAAGTCCTGTGCACTTGTAATAAAAGTGCAAAGTCTTCAGTAGTGAAGAAGTTGATCAGGGGTGGCGACTTATATCGGCCACAGATGAAGTCTTCGTTGGATAAGCTATAATAGCAACTAAATTTTGGCATATCTTTTACACATTATCGTATATTTGACACAGTATCGTACATTAGTAAGATGAAAAGGATGATAAAGATGAAACAAAATCTAGATTAAATAGTTGAAAATAATAAAATATATACAAGAACTACCATCTAACATTATGATGTATAGTTCGGGCCGTTTATGAGGCTGTTCGATTAGATAGTCGTACTCCCCTATGTTTTTAATAACTTCGTGAGTGGGGAATCACATTTTTCGTAGAATTTGAATGTAATCTTTAGTAATTCAGCATCTAATGGTAAAATCTTTAAAGAATTATGGATGACAGTGTTCCTAACGAACCACGGAGAGTTCGAGAGGAATCTGAGAGTTTTACTCTGAAAACTTTGAAGCCTTGCTCGGTTTGAAACGTGCAGTAGCTGCCCACGCCGGAGCGGCATATAGAATTATGGGTCGGATTGCCTGTAGATAAAGTGTTCTTTTAGCGTTGATATTTAACTTTCGAATATTTGCACATCAGAGGGTATATGCTCATTAAGGACAACGTTGTGCTTTGTCTCTGATATAATTAACATGAAATTTGAAAGTTAAACTTCTGGTCGAAATAAACACCTAGATATTTTACTTGGTGGTCACGAAACACGATTTGTCCGTTCATCGCAATTTCTTCTAAGTCTTGAGGGATATTTGCTTTTTTAAAGTAAATCACCTTTGACTTTTCGGGGTTAAAATTCGGGGTTTTAATTTTCCATCCTTTAAACCAGGGTGAAATGCAATTACTGGCATTCTGTAGTTTATTTCTTGCATGATATGAATTAAGTGGGTGACATAAAAGTGCCGTGTCATCGGCATAGCATGCAGTGAGAATATTTTCAATATTAGGAAGATCATTAATATATAATTATAGAGAAGCGGGGAAATTACCGAACCCCTGTGGTAAACCCGCGTGAATTTTTCTTGTGGTAGAATAATTATCTTGAATCTTAACTTGAAAAGTTCTGTTCTTTAAAAAATCAGCGATTAGATGGATGATGGCAGGTGGGAAATTATAGTTCATCAGCTTGATGATAAGACCGTGATGCCAAACTTTATCGAAGGCTTTCTCTACATCCATAAAAATAGCAGCAACTACTTCCTTTTTATTAAAATTTTCGCCTATGAATTCTCTGAACTTTGAGAACTCGTGATGGACGTCTGAGTGAAACATGTAATCCTTCTCTTCTCTTTTCTGTGTTATATAGTTTAGTTTAGTGATTTGATTGTAAATTAAATTTCTTATTATCTTAGAAGCCTCTCTTTTTGAGTGAGTAGTGCCTTTGATGAATGTAATTAATAAAAACATTCCCGGATATGCCTTTGGAACGTGAAAGAAGATCGACTAAAAGGTAAGTCTTTTTACCTTTTATTTTCTGAGAATGATTATGCTGTTAATCATAACATGAACATTACAACTAGGCTTGTTCAATCCATTAGTATTACTATATCTATGTCTGAAATACGAAATTGCCCTCTTTCTATATGTCTTTCCTTTGCAACCTAAACTTGATTTTTCACCCATCAGTGCAGAAAGACTTAGCAGGTGCAAAACAGGACATGTCTGCTTTGTGTGTCTGTTTGTAAATATTAGAGGATCTACGGATCCGTTAAAAGATGGACACAGTAAATTCTGAAGAACAAAAGGAAGCCAACCAACTTAAAAATTTGAAGCCTCGAAAGAAGAGAACTTCTGGGTTTGAACAATGGGTGAGTAAACTGATAACTGTTATATTGTGAATATTGATTTTTTATTTTGTTGCATGAATTGAAATCGGTTAATATTTTCATGCTTTAGTTCGTGGTGATGAGTTTGACTAAAATTACGTTTGCTAAAAACTAGGTATTTTTGTCCTTTGATTTCCTGTCATTAGGCGGAAGGGAAAAAAAGAAACTGCTTATTTAATGCAAACTGTATTTTTTTTTTTTTTTTTCCTTTGAGAACATACAGACTCCCCGTGCACCACATATGTCCAACACGGGGCTTACAGGAAACTGTATTGCAGTATGTAATAGTTTTCTTTGTGTTTAGTTTAGTATTATGGATTATCATTCCGTGCATCAGTTATGATTTTTTCTCCCTAATGTGTTAATGTATACAATACTTGTATCATCATATAAAGTCAAATTAATGTACAATTTGTTATCACTATTGATTAGAATCAGATGGTCAATTTGGAATGGCGATCAGTTTTATAAATTACCTTATTTAACTATTTGTGTAGTAACTAATGAAGCATCACTCATTTTAATAGTTTTGGATCAAAGCCGACTTTAAGCATAGGAGACCAATGAGTAGCCTTGGGCATGTTTTTCAGAGTGCACCAGCTAAGTTGTTTTCAGAATCTTCAACCAAAAAGGTGTATTTTACTTTGAGTTATATGTTTGTTTTATATTAGTGCCTATAGTACTGTTCACCTAGGATGTTGAAAGAGTTGGAGCTGGGACTGCTTTGTGTTATAAGACAATGATGTGGATAGAAAGTCCTATTTATACATTTAATCTCTTGAATTTTCACACCTTTCTGTAGTAATAGTTATATACCATGGCCTAAAAAAAGGACATTTTTCTATTTCTCATTCTAATAGGCTGATAAAAAAAATTCAGCTTGTGTTTTGATGTCTTGAAAATGCAGCTTATGTATTGTATTTATATGTAAATACCATATTTTGACATAAAATCAGATTTTTTTCCCTCAAATGAAATATCAGTTCCCCCCCCCCAATTTTTTACAATTTGGCAAACAGTTCCATGTATAAATTTGTTTTTTCTGCATTTAAAATATGACTGAAAGTAGATAGATGCTAAAAAATAATTTCACTCTCTCAACTTCTCACTTACATTAAACTTGGATATTTTAAAATCAATTATCTATCTTTTGGTGATTTTACGAAAATTTTAGTGCTGAGATTGTTAGTTTTGCATTTGAACCAGAATAGTTTTATTGCTTATTAAAAGTATTAATTTGCTTTTATTTGTACATTGTATGAATTCGCAAGTAGGCCATAAGTAGTGGACCACAGTTTGAATCATTAATTGTTCTAGTGAATGTACGTTTTCTGACGAGTTTAACACATTCACTGCCATATACAGAAGTGTTCATAATAGGCAAATTTAGTTTATTTACTAACTTGCTTCTTATTACCAGGGCTTAATTTCTAAAATTAGAAGTGCCGGAGCCCTATGGAAGACCATCAGCAATGAGGAACAAGAGTAAATAAATAAATAAAATGCCTATTAAACTTATTAATAATTTTAAAATTAAATAGTTAATTATTATCAAATTAACTAGCTATTTAATTAATGTTTATAAATTGTTATTTAATCAATAATTATTATATAGTTAATTAATTATAGTTTAATTGTTAATTATTAGATATTTATTTATTTTTATTGAAATAATTAAAGTAATTAAATTAAATGTAAAGAGATAAATTAAAATTTAATAAGTGAATTTTAATATAATTTTATTGCTAAAAATAAAATATTCGAGATAAAATTTCTACTGAAATTGTTATTCAATTACATAAAAGAAGTGCCGCAGCCTTCTTATTTAGGGCTTCGGTGTGCTCTGGCTAGAATTATGATTTATTACAAAAACTAAGAAGTACCGGGCTCCGGCCTAATTTAAGCTCTGATCATAAGGGGGGAAAAGTTCTTTTTTATCATCCCAAAAATTAAATATACTTAAAGAATAGCTGATGATAATTCAGATAATCAAAAAACAGGGGGTAAACAGAATGAAGGCGTAAAGGTATGAGTGGGTGGAAACAAAAAATGAGGGGAATTTTGGTGAAAGAGAACGTTCTCTTTGACCACGGCTCTCTGCTGATGTAATTATAGTCATCAAGCGGATGTGTGTCAAGGGTAAAATGAGTCCTGAATCTGACTCCTAAGGATGAATCTAAAGTTGCTGGTTATGCTTTTCGCCCCCCTCCATATTTGGTTACATTAGTAGATACTATGGGAAGACGATATATGGGATGTGCTTGAGCAGTTTACCTCAGTATTTGACTGTTTTTGTACTCGCTGTGACTTAACACAGATTTAAGAACACAAATTTTCCTTCCTGCAAGGATAACTAACTGTAACCATTGATATCAATACGCTACATACGATGGCGTGGCGAGAAATTTACGCTTTCCTAAACAAACTCCCCCAAATTTATTGCCCTTTTTAAAGGGTAAGGTTTCCGCATGTGAGTGAGGGGACTTTACTTGAACGTCTCATGTTCTTATGAGTTCATATTTCTAGGGAAATAGAGTATTGCAAAGTCTGCTTATTGTTAAACTAAAACGTTACAAATTCTATTTTTGGCTAATCTTTGGAATATGGTAACAGGTAGTTTGGTGACATTTTGGTAAGGCGATAAAGGTTACTAGCTAGGATTTTAGCAGTGTACATGGATAAAGTCAAGAGTGTGCGCAATGCCATTTTTGTGCAATTCTGGGATGTTTTTTGAAGTGCGTCAACGTGTACAAGGATGATATCGTGTATGTGCAATTCTTAAAAACGCGACAAGCAGTGGGCGATTCTGCACTTTGTCCCAATTTTGCAACTAATCTTCGTTATGATTAAGCACTTTAGTTCCACAAAAGTTCTAACATGAGCGTAATTCGGCTAGCAGATTATTGGAAAAAAATGTTGAGTAAAAACAAAAAAATTTTTAAAAAATGCCTTTACTTCGTAAAAATAAAATGGCATCCAAACAAAAACTAGCAGGTTGCTGTAGCAGGGTTGGTTGTCAACTTTTCGCCAAAAAATAGCCAAGTTGCCATAATCCAAAGATTAACCCTATTTTTTCCCCTTTGTGGTTCTGTTTTATAAAAAGAAGTACCGGAGCTCATCTTATTTAGGGTTCCGGTGCGCTCTGGCTAGAATTGTAATTTATCTTAAAAATTGAGAAGTGCCGGGCTCCGGCGCAATTTAAGCACTGCTTATTACCCTACTTAAATCACCGAGTACAAGCATTGCCATTTGAAATGCATGTAGTGTTTAGTTTTTTGGCATACATGAAGGGTCTAAATAATACATTATGCATTCTAAAATGGATAATTTATTTCTCGCAACATAGATACAATAATTAAAAGTTGAGGCCGCAGAATCCTTTCATATTTTATTTAATTTATTTATTTTGGTTTATTCATTGTGGGAAGTGTAAACAGATTACTAAAATTATTGTAGAGTGGCTCATGTAAGACTAATAGAAAATTGTCTATCACATATGCAGGAGTTTTGTGTGAATGTGCAAAACATGTGTATATTGTTTATTTAGTTGCGAGTTATCTCTTAGCCAGTGGCGGCTCGTAATAAGCACTGTGGAACTGCAGCACCCCTATTTCTACTTATTATTATTTTTAATAGTTAATATAGTGTGCTCTTTAGTCATTAATTCTTTCTTTATACTTTTACAATACATAATGCCAGTAGCCATCTCCTACTTTGTGAAAAAGGTACGAAATTCTTTGTTTGGGAACTGCGCTTCACAGTTCCAGCGACGTGGTGTTTGGCTGTTCTGCGCATGCGTGCACAGAAAGCAGCACGCGAGCCGGGTAGAGAGAAGCACTGTCGCTCTTGCAGTGCCAAAATTTTGGCATGTTGTTGGAAACATGATTTCTTTTAACTCCGCGTGTGTGGTATTCCTCCACAAGGTGGAACTTCATCATACGGACCATGAACAGAGTTCATGAAAATTTGCAACCTTTAAAATATTGCCTTACTGAAATTCGGTCAACATCAAATGCAGATCAAACTATTACAAAAGCAACAGGAATTTTAAAATGTAATCCAGAGAAATTAGTGTGTTTAAAGTTAACGAATATATAACAAATTTCAAAACTGCTATTATAGAATTAAGAAACTCAAAATACTGTGAGAATTTTTCAAAGACATTGATGGCAGAAGCTAAGGAAATATGTGACTTTATACTATGTATTGATATAATTCAGAGATATTCTTCAACTAAACACTTAGCAGCTGCTAAATTGTTAAACAAGAAATGCATTGCTAGTTTTAGGAATGAACATTCTACAGAAGAAATAGTACTGACCACTGAAGCACTGAAGCATATCCAATGATTGACAAAGAAAAGCTTGAAACTGAACTAAAAGTATTCTATTGTAGATCTGATATCCATGAATATTGCAAATTAATTGAGCTACTGAAATTTATCTTCCAAAATAATCTAGATGATGTTCTTAGTTAAATTACAAAACAGATAAAAATTATCTCGAGAGTTCCCATGACTACATCAGAGGCAGAATGCTGCTTTTCAACATTGAAAAGAATGAAAACTTTTCTAAGAAGCACTAGGAATTCGGAAAGACTAAATGTGCTTGCATTGCTTTCAATAAAGAAAAATTTTCTCAGTTGGCATCCAGAGATCAAGGAGAAAATTATTGATCTTTTCGTGCAAATTAAAACAAGAAGAATGGATTTCATTTTTAAATGAATAGACAACTATAACAATTTTGGTTAAATTAATTGGAAATGTTTAATTTTTTTCTTGTAAGATTTCATGAAGTTTCAAAATAAATGTTCTTTTTATACATGTTTTTTTTTTTTTTCCTTTTAGACAATTTTTAAAGGTTAAATTTTTTTGGAACAGCACCCCACTAATTTTAGCCACGAGCCACCACTGCTCTTAGCACAGGGAGCAGCAAAAACACTTTTTATATGCCAACTATGAATATACTTATGTGAATTTATTTATTACTCAAAGCAGTCTGTTATAACTATATTTAAACAATAAAAGAACAGAAAATGCAGTAGAAAAAGCAGAAAAATGCAGATAGGATCTTGGCACATGTTAACTTGTAACATGTGCCAGAGATGTCCTATTACAATGCTTTTTGCAAGTTTAAACAAACATTTTGATGAAAATGGCATCATACTGTATATGGCGTGAACAAGGGACTGAAACAACTGAGAAGGAGCTAAGGTTAGAGTAGATTGAAGGTTACCCCTTATTGTGAAGTTATTGTTTCATTTATCTTTAACTCGCGAGACCACGCACTGGGTCCAGTGGACTCGCCTGATTAAAGAAACGCTTCTAATAACGTCCCTACTTTCCCCAAGCGGTTGTGGTTCAGTGTAGTCTCCTTTAAGGTCATCGTCTTTGTGTTTCTGAAATTTTTCACCAGAAATTTGATTCAAAGTTTTGTTTTGACAGGATCGGGTCTTTCAGATCCATTCCCATCCATTCATTTCAGATTCATTCCTATTCGCATTCTGTAATGTAGTTCATTTGTGGTAGCAGAGAAAGCTGCAAATATGTCACATAAATTATCCTATAAGGAAGAAATGTTACGTTTGCAAAAATTATTAGATGTATGGACTGTTGAAGACTCCTTTGAAGAAATTGATAATGAAAGTTATAATGAATTTTTTACTTTTCATGATACTGATTCAGAAATCGAGATGCATTCTGAAAACGAAAATGAGAATGACATTTATTGCTTTATTGGAAAAGACACACGCACACACAAAAACAATGTTCAAAAGAAAAGTCTAAAGCTGATGTTAGAACTCCTACTCATAATGTTATTACTAAATTGCCTGAAAACATCGGTAAGGCAAAATATGTGCAGACTCCAAATGAATCGTGTCGTGGGAACTTTTACTAAGTGAACAAATGTTGCTGAAAATCATCAGGCATGCAAATATTTATATTGCATCTATTTCTCACAGCTTTCAAAAAGAGAGAGATACTCGTCACACAACTTTAATTGAAATTCATGCTTTTAGAGGTCTTTTATATTGTGACATAAGTCATCTCATATAAATGTGCAGGAACTATGGGTAACAGATGGAGCTGGCTTGGAAATTTTCTACAAAACTATGTCCTAGAAACGTTTTCTTTTTTTATTAAGATGTTTGTGTTTTGATGACATGGGAAATCACGTCATCAAGAAAGAATAGGATAAACTTGCAGCTATAAAAGGGTTTTTTTTGAAGAGATTGAGAATAACTACCAGAAATATTACACTGTCGGTGAGCTCATAACAATTGATGAAAAACTTGAAGCTTTCCAAGGATGATGTTCTTTCCGACACCTAATAAACCTGAATAATAATTTCTGAATAGGCTGAATAATAATATAATGAATTCCTAATAAATCCTTTATTAGTTCTTATTTAATTCCTCTAAATAGAATTTTGTAAAAATATTATAGAAAATTTTAATTTTAATTTTCATAATTTGCATATTTTTAAAGTTTATCATAATATTTTGGTATAAATGTAACACTTTTACCTGAAGAGTAAAATTTTTTCCTTCAAAAAACACGAGTGCTCGCTCCCGGGTTAAGTTGTTGTTTCATTTATGGTAACCTGAATAGTTGCATGTTATGGAAACTCTGTTATGTCCTAATTGGTTGTGTGATTACGGTCAATTGGAATTGTGGGAAAAGATTTGGAAAGTGTACGTCGGATTTTGGTTAAGAAGTACATTGTTATTTTCTGGTTTATATGGTAAAATGGCTGAATGTGGTAAGATAAATTTAAAGTTTCTGTACAATTTGGAACGGAAGGGGAAAAGCACATTAACTGACTGATGTGTAAAGGAAGGTTTACTTAATAGCCATTATAAGTGTTCTGTTTGTAGAAAGGAAATGCGTATTGTTGAACGTCTGAGGATACCGACACTACAGAGAATATTTTTGTGAATTTATGTGGTGATGCCGATATATGGATTCTAGTTTAGGTAATTTTAGGAAGTTTTTGGATGCTTTTAAGGAATTTTGTGTGCCACAGACGGAAGTACTCAGAAATTTCTAAATAAGGTAAGTGGGTATTTGTTTTGTGTAGTTCTTAGGTGCATAAGATAAATTTCCTTTCTATATGTTATTTTATTGCTTGATTTAAAATGTAGTTTATTGAGATTATGAGTAAAAGTTTATTTACAGGTACCACTTGGCAAATTTTTGCGGTACATGGATACCGAGCTTGTGCAATTCTTTGACTTGCTATTTTGGCTTGTGTGGCTTTACCTATTTCCCTTAAAAAAAAATCTGATGTGTACACCACATAACTTCCCTTGTATGGAATATTAAATTACACATTTTTCTTGCATTTCATTTAAACTTATTGGATTAAATTAAATCTACTTCGTCGATAGCGCATAAACCACAATAGAATAAATGTACTCTTTAAAATTCACTATATTTGTTTACCATAGCGACACTCTGGCACTAGGTTCATTTAACAATGTTACATTTCATTCATTCACTTTGTAACTCAAAATGCACAGAATTTATATCATTTGAAAAATTATCTAATCATTGCCATATGTTCTATTCAAATGCTATGATAAATCTAAAACGATGTATAAAAGAAATTAAGCAAACAACAACAACAAAAAGAAAGAAACAGTTTATCGCAGACGATTTCAGTATTTTTCATTCAATTAATTCAGTTTTCATTTTGGGACAAGGCAAAAATACATAAAAAGTAAAAATAAAAATATCTGTATGTAAAAGTAAAAATATCTGTATTGAAAATTATGAAGTAAATCTTAAACACTTATTTCCTCGAATAAATTTCAGAATGGATTAAGCATTATTTAATTCACAATAATAAACAAAGGTTGTTATCTTTGTTATTGCATAGCTTACTTTCTATAGATTGGCAACAAATCTACTATTCTGCTGTTTCAACTGTAAACAAACATTCCTGCCATTACAAAAATGATTAGGCTTAGCGGCACTTAAACAACTTTTAAATTGGTAATAATTCTAAAAATATTGCATGCAGATTTACTAATGGCATAAAAACCTTAACTGGAAGATAAGAACAACATAATTCAATTATTTTTAAAGCAAAAAGTGCACAATTTACAAACATATAAGAATAAAGAAACTGAGATCACCGAGCTGAGTAATAGAGTGGATATATGCATATATTTATATACTTTTGGAGTGGCTGGTTGCAACCAAAATACGAGATGCACATCTACATGTTATAGCATTCCTATATACAAAATTTCAGCGTTTTGAGGCTACTCGTTTTTGAGTTATGCGAGGTACGTACTACGCGCAGATGTCACGTAAATTTCTCTTCAGAATTTTAAATCAGTTTTATAATTTTGGGGGGGGGAGTCCTTTAGTCTGTTCTAATGTATGAATGTCATGCAAAAATATTCTTAAATTGCATTCAATAGCAGTCAAAGTGGATATTTTTGTTAAAATATGATGTCTGAGGATATTTTCGTTAAAATATGATGTCACAGTTACAATACTTTCTTTTTACTTCTTACAAGGAAGTAAAAATCAGAGAGTTGCACAAACTAGGCATTACGCACTCCCTTGCCTTTGTCCATGTGCACAATGATCTAGATTCATTTATAAAGTCAAAGGAGCCTGCCTCAATATACTACATTTTAAACAATGAAATAACATAGAAAAGGAAATTCATCTTAGCACTACACAAAGGAAATATCCACTTACCTTATTTACAACTTTCCCTGTCTTCAGTCAAACAAAATTCATTAACAGCATCCAAAAATTTCCTAAAATTATCTGTATACTGGCATCGCTATATAAATTCACAAAAATAAGAGTCGAAAATATCCTCCGTAGTGCAGGTATCCTCTGATGTTCGACCATACGCATTTACATCCTACAAACAGGACATCCATATTGGCAACTAAGTAAACCTTCATTTATATACCAATCAATTAATGCTTTTTTTCCCTTTTATTCGAAATATTACAGCAACTTCAAATTAATCTTACAACATTCAGCCATTTTATGGAGTAAACTAAAAAATAACAATGTACCAAAATCTGTCTCATCATTCAAATTTACCGCAATCACACAATCAGTTGTCATAATAGGGTCAGTTATGTCATAGCATTCAACTACTCAGGTTACAATAAATGAAACTACAACTTGGCAATAATTCAAAGGTCACCCTAACCACTTCAGCTTTAGTTATGATTTAAAATATATTTTTAATGTTTGACATATTTTTGAGAACCAAAGTGTAATTGTCTGTCTTTTATAAGATTAATTTATAATAAGAAAACTTTCCATATACCATCTCCAGAGTCAGATGAAGTTTGAATTTTATCAGTTTTTGATATTACCATCCATGTTGCTACTGACTTTTTTATGCTTTATATGTTTCAAGAGTGAGACAAGTCTTAAAATGTGGTCTCAGATTGAAAATTAGTTCAAAAAGTTCTGTTCCACATATGTTTATGTATTATATCTATATATTTACACATTATCATTTCAAGATATCAGTTATTGTTTCCATTAGAATTTTGCTGTGTTGAATTAAAAAATTAAATTTCATTGACACAAGAAAAATTTGTAAAAAAATTTTTTTTTTTTTTTTTCCAACGTAACATGGAAAAGTTATTTTTATACATGGATAACTAATAACTACAAACATTTGTATTTATATTTGTATATTTTAATTTATAACACATTTTGTAGGGTGGATACATGGCTGCCAAGAAAATGAAATTAGGTGCACAATTCCAGGGTCAAAAGCCTTTAGAATTGGAAGGTAAAGAAGATGAAGAAACTCAAATTTTTAAAGGCATTTCTATTTTTGTAAATGGATATACAAGTATGTTTTCTCCATAATATTTCAGAAATTCAGAGTAAAAATTTTTATTTATGTTGTCACCCCCATATGGCAATCATCTTTTAAAGTGATCAGTATTTCTGAGAATGCAGACAAACACTGTCATTCATAAATTTAGTATCTTTCTCTTAGCCAACCGCACTCTGATCTGACGAGGGCCATCAAATGTGTATTGAGGTAACCGCAAAAATATTTAGTTTTACTTTTAATGCAAAATATTTTATGTATCAGGTTCAGGAAGGTATATTTTTTTACAAAAGTAAATAAATAAGCCATAAATTGGCATGATATGTTTCAAAATAGCTGTGAGTACTTTCTATGTATTTTAACTTTCTGAATCCGGCTGGTATAGCAGTTGTACCAGGAAAATGACTTTCTTTAATGCCTGCTGTGGTACAACTGTCTTACCAGCCATCCCCTCCCTATTTTAGAAAATCGTCTATCTGTAGATCTCTGGGTGGTCTGTTGTCGCTGCTTAGAATAGCCGCTGGCTATGCATTATTTCCCTCTTCTTATCAGTTTGGCTACATTTTGGCAAAAACCGCAGGTTTCGTCTCGCGTCTGATACCATGACTTTTAATCCCATGGAGGAGAGAAAGAGTTGCTTTGGACCACTCCCTTTCATAGAGGCCCTAGTAACAAGAACTTTGGTTTTATGTGACTCTGATCTTTAGTAAACCAAGCTAATTAACTGATATTTGGCTGTTTTTCTCGTACTTGAAAAAAGTGTTAAAATTTTGGACCAGCCTCCTACAGAACGGCAAGAAATGGAATGTTTTCAAAGTTGGAGGACCCCTACCTATCGTATTGATTGAGTTCATGAAGAAGGTGATAGCTTTGTTGTAATTTTAAGTTTGATTAGAGAGGTTTGACTACTGGAATGATGGGTGATAGTTTTAATGAATTTATTTGTTAGATTAATCTCAATGCTTGAGCTCTTAATTATGTAATTTTTTTGCCATATGCATAACTTATATCTATTGATTATCTAATTAAATAAAGAGCAATCTCTTGTTAGCTAATTAAATAGACTGCAATCTGTTTCATCAAATGTCTACTGGAATGACTGAGGTGATTTTTGTAGGATCTTTGCCAACTTTTACAATCAACAGGAAAATATTATGAAAGTACCAAGAATTATCTGTAGTGTAAATATTATTAATGTTAAATTAATGTTATTATTATTAATGTTAAATATTGTTGGAAAGTATAAGGAGAAAATGTAGAAATCAAATATTTGACTAAAATGTATAATGCTGTTCCTAGGTAGAAATTTTCTTTGGCACTGTAAACTTGATCAGGTATCAAGGTTTCCTCTGTGATTAAATATTTTGAGTTTTAACCAGTTCCTGAGTAACATCTTCATTGACAGATAATTTACCCCCCTCTGCCATTGTCAATTTTTGAATGTTGTGCCATTTAAAAAAAAATTTCAAACCAACCTTAAGGAATCAGAAGCATTTATTTTTATTCATTTTTTTAAAGTTAGAACGTTTTCCTTCAGAAGTGTACCAGAAATAATATGTTGGGTGCATCTTTGATTGAACAATAAGAGAAGAGCTTCAGGTTTTTTTTTTTTTTTTTTTTTTTAACCTTTTTACCTTTTTAAGAATAGGCTTTGCAGTTAAAGCTTTACTAAAAACAACACTTCAGAAAGAATCATCATTATTTTTCCTATTCCACATCTAGTATCCTGTAGTTATTTCAACTTATGCCAAATTTGGGAGCATTTTGTTTTAATGATTCATACTAATTTTACTCAGCTTCCATGTTTTTTCCAATCATAACAGTCACCTTTTTTGTGTTTTATAGATCAGCTGTTTTCTGCATTCAACAAAATCTTTGCTTCTTCAAAGCATTTAAAAGAAATAAAAAAAGACTCGTTAATGACTCTCTTTTGTGACAAAATTCACTAATGTTTTGTAATTTTCATTTTATTTCTTTCAACTGATTGCCGCCTCATTTAACAAAAACTTCGATTAATAAAGAGGCCAGTCAATAGAAATTCAGCTTAATAGTTAAAAAAATTATGTAATTTCATAAATTCACTTAAAATTATATATTGTTTACAGGATGTATTTAAAATATGTTCTTTATTTATTTATTTTTATTTTTCAGAACCATCAGCTGAAGAATTGAAAAGGCTCATGCTAATTCATGGTGGAACATATCACTATTATTGTTCTTCAAAAACTACTCACACAGTTGCATCAAATTTACCCAACAGCAAAATAAAGAACCTTAAAAATCAAATAGTGGTAACTCCAGAATGGATTACAGACAGGTAACAGAAATATAAACATATTTTTTTAAAAAAAGATTTACAGATTTTTAAAAAAAGATTTAATATATTTACAGATATTTTTTAAATTTTAAGTATTAATTAAGTATTATATTTTTTTAAATTTTAAGTAATTAAGTATTAAGAAAAATAGTTCTGGTAATTGAAAATTCACTTAAAATAAAGAGCTGTAGTAATTCTTATTAAGTTTTTTATATTTTGTAAAGAAACCTTTAGCTATTTATCTTTTTGTTTTTACATACATGTGCACAATAAATACTTTGATAGTTTATGAGTAATTTTTTTATATTGTTATTTAACACCATAGGTCTTTTATGACTTTCAGTTTCTTTGTGAATAAATTCTATTAGTTCTTTAATATTCCTCATTTGGTCACTGTTTCTACTGTGATTAAATTCTAATGCAATCTATAGAGTAAGTTTTAATAATATTGTTGTACATAACGTAAGCTAAAGTATGTAACTGATATTATATTCATAGACTTTAACCATCTAATTTGAGTTAAAGCATTAATCGTATAGTTTTCTAAGATTCTGTATATGTATTACATTTCTAACAGCTGAAAGATTTAACATGTTAATCATGTGAGCATTTATAACCAAATCTTTTCTCCCAGATCTGAATTCTACAACTGAATTCTGATTCTCATTTATAAGCAAACATGTGGAAATGGCATTATAAGCTAACCTGACTAATAGCCACTTTAAGTAATTAAATTTGTTTACTTTTGATAATGGATCTTTGTCATGAGACTGATTCTAAAATTTCTGCCAATCACTTGGGTCCCTAAAAATTTTTTTATATTAAAAATTTTACAACTTAATGGTATTTGTTGCACAAATAGTAGTTGATTCATTACATCCTTAGGAATTAATCTGGAGAGAGAAATTTAAATCTCTTTTATTTCTTAAGTAAGAAAGTTCTTTTATTTATTTAGAAGTTTTGAAAAATTCCTCTTCCTTTAATGGTTTTTAATATCATTATTCAGCTCATTGAGGAAATCTTATTTAGTTATTAATTGTTCATGAAGTTCATCAAAAGATTAGGCAATCTATAGAGGATAATGCATAGAATTTTCAGTTGTTTTAAACAGTTTAGTGTTAAAGAACATATTTCTCTTTTCGTATTTTTTAGAGAAACAAATTACTCATTACTATCAGTAGGTATATCAAAAAATTCAAATAAAATGTAACTGGCTGAGTACCAATGAAAATGAAAACAAGAAGTGTAAATACTTATCCAATGCAGTCACTCCGAAGTAGTAATCCATGCAAATAATATCAAATCTATATCAAGCAAGCCAGATCTAGTCCATCTATAGCAAAATACTATAAATCCAAAGTCAAAGGCATGAAGGCAAACATTAAATTGAAAGTATTAACTTCCTGGTCATATGCACCATGCACACAGTAACATCATGACATTCTTAAAGTTCTAAAATAAACCCAATGAGATTGATTGCATCTAATTTTACACATAAACAATTCATATGAATGAATGTGAAGATAAATATGATGATATAAGTACTCAATCTAGTTTTAGATGCATTTTCTACATCAAAATATCACAAACAAGTAAACTAATCTCAAGCTTCACCAAATACAGATCAAAAGATTGTTCTTTTATACACTGTTGTCCCTTATTATTACCTAAAAAAAATGTGCTTTTACTATATTTTGTGTTGCTATTCAGTAGTAGAGAAAAGTGTCTATTTAGACTGGAAAAAAATAGAGAGTTGGAATATGTTCAGGAGCTGTGTAAAATTGCTTCGGAAACCACTGCTCTAAAAGGAAGGTGTTGAATGCTTGGAATGGCTTTCATATTTACTGGATTTAAATCCCATAGAACATGCCTGGGACATTCTCGGTAGTTTTGTTGCACAAAGAAATTCTCCATTAGAGTAGGTTAAAGGGTGCCCTTTGTATTATTGCAAAGTTGCTGCTTCATTTATCGCCAGGCTGTTGTTTCATTTATGGTAACCTGAGTAGTTGAATGTTATGGAAACCCTATTATGACATAATCGGTCGCGTGATGGAAAATGATTTGTAAGTGCTTGTGGTGTGTGTTAGTTAGAAAGTATGTTGCTTGTTTTGTTGTTTAAATAGTAGAATGGCTGAATGTGGTAAGATTAATTTGAAGTTTCTGTAGGATTTGGAACGAAAGAAAAAAAACATTAGTTGAGTGGTTTGTAAATGAAGGTTTACTTAGTAGCCATTATTAAGTGTCCTGTTTGGAGGAAGGAAATGCATATGGTCGAACATCGGATATTTTCAAATGGAGGATATTTTTTATTCTTATTTTTATGAATTTATGTGGCAACAAAAGTATACAGATTCTAGTTCAGATAATTTTAGGAAGTATTTGGATGCTGTTAAAGAATTTTGTTTGACTGAAGACAGACAAATTTCTAAATAAGGCAAATGGATATTTCCTTTGTGTAGTGCTAAGATGAGTTTCCTTTCTTATGTTGTTTGATTTAAAGTGTAGTTGATTGAGATTATATATTTTTTGTTGGCTGCTCCTTCGACTTTTTAAGTGAAAATAGATCGATGTGCACATAGCTAAAATCGAGGGAGTGTCAAATTCCAAGTTTGTGCAATTCTCTGATGTTTTTTAAGCGAAAATAGGTAGATGTGCACATGAATTAAGTCAAGGGAGTGCACAATGTGAAATTTGTGCAATTCTCTGATTTTTTTTAAGTGAAAATAGGTTGACATATACATGGATACTGAAATAGTGCAGTTCTTTGACTTGTTATTTTGTCTTTGTGTAACTGTGATTTTTGGTGCAAAAGTCGCCGCTACACAATGCCAAAATAACAAGTCAAAGAACTGTATAAACTCGGTATCCATGTATCTCCAATTTTCGCCTAGGGGCATCCGTAAATATATTTTTTACAATCCTCCTTGAACTGTGCAAGAGATCAAAATCACCTTGAATTATGAATAAGACAATAACTTCAAACAGTTCTTAATCCCTTCATAACATGTGTATCATATATGCATGGCATGCCGCTTAGCACAAATTTGACTCATCTCGATGAAATGTTGTAAAAAACGTAGTTAAATCTATATCTAAACACATTAAAAATAATATCATATATGATTAAATATTATAGCATAAGGGATTCAGAGAGGACAGTGTGTAATAATCTAGTTGCTATCTTTTCATTAGTTACAAAACACATTTGCAGGTTGAACTTTTTAATTATTTGCAGCAGAATAATTAATCCTAGGAATTCTCTCGTTTTATGCTTATCTACAAGAGTATGTAATTTTGGATGAAAATGGAATATCACACATCTTTTGTTCATGGAAATTATTAGTTTCTTCAACTATTAAGTTGATTAGATTACCAAAAGAAATGGCAAAAAAGATCAGTTTCATGCACATACTTGTGAATTAAGTTTACTTCTGCAATTGTCTTAAATTCATAAGGCTTTAATTGTTTAACAGATTGATGTGGAAGCTTAAATTGAATTAAAATCTTAAATTCATGAAGCTTGAGATTAGTTTACTTGATTCATGATGGAGTAGCCACTGTTCTGCTGGATTATGAGGGGGAAACAAAATAGACTTCCAATTCAGTCTCTGACAAAATTTCGGTATCAAAATCATTATTCTCACTTAAATCTAGAGTCTTCGGTGCCAAAATAGTCACTCATGAACTCAAATGAACACTCATAGGCTTTACAATTCGAATATACTCTTCTTCTGTTAAAATTTCTTTCTCTTGGACATCGCACTATTAGATTAACTCCCTTAACTGGTGAAAAAACTTAGTCTGCTCTCCAAAGAAGATGCAAACTGAATAAAAACCAGTGTTCCTAAAACCCAGCTCCGCTCCCAATCTTCCCATAGGGGAAAAAAAACCTCAAAAACAAATTGGAAGCATCAGAAATTGTTCAATGTTTATATCACTTGAAGCCTCAACTGGGGTCAATGGGGGTTTGTTTACTTTATATCATCTGCTCGTACATCTAAATGAATCACCAGACTCGGAAAATATTTCATGGATACAAGGCCAACAATGTATATGTTCAAATAAGCTAACTGTAGTGGACACGGAGCCCCATCTAGTGATTTAAAAAAGTTCTAAAAGAGTGTGTATGTTTGAAAATGCATGTATGGCACACCCATCTGGAAGGTCAATGTGAGTGGTGATGCACCAGTGCATCATTCGGCTGCTAGTGATATTTGGGAGTGATGCGTATGTGACACACTCATCTGCAGAGGGTTTTCAGTTCAACATGCCATCATGAAAGGGTTAACAATTTAGTGTTAGTATCCTAGAAGATATATGCTAAAGGATTCATATCTTTCATCACTCTAGTTGAAAGATGCATTTTTTGTAACACTTTGAAAATGCTTCAACGAGCATCTTCTCTTTTTTTCTTATCTTCGTTTTCAGTGGTACCATTTTGAATTATAAAGAATGCACAATAATACATGTTAAATTTTTCATTTCTCCAATTAATATCTCTTATTAATTATTATGAAAAATATCACTCTTCTGCAGCCATTGTGAAGCAGTACTTTAAAAGGAGTATGAAGATTTTGAATGGCGGTCATTGCAAAATTTTTATGACAAAATGTTTTTTCTTTAAGAATTCATATGACATCAACATGAGTGTCTTCACTCACCACTGCAAGAGGTTGCCCATGAAAAGTTAGTATTCATCAACGAGTTCATCTTTTGTCATGTAGCCTTTTCAATGATCAAAAAGCTAATTTAGGAGAGCTCATGGCCACAGATGGGATAAAATAATATTTAAATATGCTGATATGATTCATTTGTTGGTATATGTAGAGTCAATTTATTTAACCGTTTGACTGCTACGCAGCGCAAAAGTGCTGCGTTCATTTGTCTCGAAAACTGCGCAAGTTTCAGTGTGTCTTTGTTGCTCCTTGGGTGGGAACATACATAGTCTTACCTCACTCGTACTTTGTAACATGAGTGCATTCTAAAATAACTAATTGCGT